GCCTCCGACAATAAACAAAGTGAAAAGGGCTCTTCCATACGGTGTGTGGCAGCCGTGTCGCCCCCCCCTCTGAAAATTAGGTGAAGAACACCGAGTTACAAAGCTCATAGGCTGACTGATACAATCTTTGTAATGTAAGAAAGTTTCTCAAACGCAGCATTTTTTTTGTATTGTTTTTGTTATACGCGTCGCTTGCGTGATTTTGACAGGAGATGGAAAGTACAAGAAGTGGCTTGACTCCATCTCTGCTGAGCCGCGTGTGTGCGGGATTTCTTCCCGGATGTCAAACGCTCGTTCGAATCTTCCCAATGCAAGGACCCGCCTACAAGGTCTTGAGATAAAGTTTGAAACGCTCCTGGATGAACGCGTCGGTTATTAACATTATCTGGGTAGACGCACAACAACCCAACTGCACGTTATTCATTCGTTGGTTGTAAATGGAGCAGTGGCGTAGTGGTTAACGGTGTCGCTTTGAGCCCATCACCGCAGTTTGATTCCTGACCATGGCGATCATCGGGGCTGAAGATTCCGATTTTGATTTGGCGGCCCTGGTTAGCTCCCGTGTGCCCTTCGCCAACCTGCACTGCCCAGCGTGGTGAAGTATGGTCACATCTGCCGTGACCTGGACAGGCATTCGTTCGCATCCAACCAGCGGGTCTTGCAAAAGGGGCTGTGAATGTTCCTGCAGATAATCCTTTGCAGGGATGTTAATAATGGTGGGTTCATGAGTGTGGCGCTTGAGGGCATGCACACTCGATTAGAACCTGCAATGTGACAGGCTAAGATTGCTTTATTGCGATGCTTTCTCTTGAAACTGGCTGAGCAGGCACACTGACACGCATTGTAATAATTAAATTGACATGACCACCCTGCCTGCGTAAATTACATAGCAGTTTTAGTTACTGCCACCGCCACCTCCCCATGCTTGAACGTTGTTCGCGTGATGAGAAACGTGAAGATTTCGGACATTGTGGGCCCTCTTCTGCAATGTCCTGCGGAGGGGCTTGTAACCTATGAAGCCTAACGTCAATTGGTCGAATCTAAGCTGCTGTAATAAATGAACATGACGGATTTTTATTGTAATTTAAACTTAACGTTATAAACATGTTAGAAAGCAGTCTGCTAGTGCTATACATTCATAGGCCACGAGTGTTAAATGTATAGTGCTGGATTGAACATGCAATTTTTTCCTGAAATTGACTTAAATTTATTCTTTCTGCTTAAGTGACTTGACCTTTTTGAAAGAAAGAAATAACCCTCGCTCACTTTCTTGACGACGTTGCACGGTAGAAACATCGCTCTTCACAGGGAGTCGTGTGGAGGAGGAAGCTGCTGGGTCGTGTGTGAAGTTTATCGGTCCTCTCCATTGTATATCAAAGGCAAAGTTGTGATTATGCGTCTGTTCAAAATGTTTTAGCGTACTTCCCGACATGCAACACACTTGAAATTTTCCATGTGGGTACTTTCCAGACTGTACACCATGCAAACATTATTAAAATACACTTTTGTGTTTTGTTTTTTGGGGGGGGGGGCGGGGGGAGCTCAATGCATATATTTTTGCACGCCATGTGAACTGTGACGTCAAATCTGTCACGTGACCCGCGCACGTGGAAGCGTAACGCATTGTAGTGTAGGGGGTAGCGCACCGCGCTACGAACTCAGCGACCCGAGTTCGATTCCCGCTCACGGCCACCACCGGTGAGGATTATTTCAACCGCTTCTGGGCCTCCCCTAGGGCCACTCGGCCTCAAACGAATAACTGGTGTACTGTGTGAACATCGCCACTGGGGGAGACAAAGGCGGCCGGACGTGGTGAATCTAAGTCCCGGGCGAAGCCAGGTAGTAAAGCTAGTAACTTTATAAAACGTCGGCCCTAAATGAACCTTATGGCGGGACCCGGGGTCTCGCATAAAGTGCGTTGCGACATCGTTTTATGTCTGAAGGCGAACGACACGGCAATCTATTAATCTCGACGAGCTCGACACGATCAGTTTCAAAGTTGTTTGACTACGGCAATTTTGGCAACGACGGGTGCTCGGTGAAGAACGAGAAGATTTGTTTCTGGCGGGTCGCGGCGTTTATGTGCGCGGTGGGACGGAGTCGCAAAAAAATAAATTGCTTTAATTACGATTTTGACTTCCGTTTATTCGGGACCCCGGGGTCCCGCCATAAGGTTCAAACAGCCGTCGCGAATCGAAACCGTCGTAAACCAGGTTTAATGTTTCGGCACATTTTTAATCAACGCTGTTTTTCCACTAACATTTAAAAAACACGTTTCACAAATGTTACGCGCTCCGAAACAATGGGCTTTAAAAAACAGAATCCGGAGAATAACAAACTCTCACTCGTTCCAATCATAGTGATGTTGATGACAAAGCCTTGTGGTGGGGAGCGGTGGGGCAGTGGTTAGCGCGCTGCGCTACGAAACCGGCGGCCCGAGTTCGATTCCCGCTCCCCCTGACCGACTCGGCCTCAAATGAGTGGCTGGTGTGTAGTGTGTAAACATCGCCACTGGGGAGACAGGCGGCCGGGCGCGGTGTTGGCCACCCACCCTCTCGTTAGTGCCGTGCCGCCCTTCATTGGTGCCTCGCTCACAACACGTGCCACCCTTAACATTTTGCACACACAGACTCGTTGTGCGAGACAATTAATGTTCGTGAAATTTTTTTTCCAATATTTTACACTGTTTAGGGGAATTTTTTATCATTATTTAATTACCAATTGCTTAATGCTGGAAGACAATCATCTGACCCATAGATTGCAGCCATCTCAAGCCAGAGGACGAGAGGACTCTAGCCGCCACGCATATAAAGGATTTATAGTGAAAAACTTTGTTTTTACGGGTTATACTTATATTATATTAAGTTCGCTTGCTTGCGTGCTTGCTTGCTTGCTTACGACCGTGCAACCCTTTCGGTCGTTTTTTTAACCCACTTCCCGTGATCCAATCGAGCTGACATTTTGCACACAGACTCGTTGTGCGAGACAATTAATGTTCGTGAAAATTTTTTTCCTTAATTTTACACTGTTTAGGGAAAACAAATTAAATATTAAATTACCAATTGCTTAATACTGGCAGACAATCATCTGACCCATAGGTGGCAGCCATCTCAAGCCAGAGGACGAGAGGACTCTAGCCGCCACGCATATAAAGGATTTAGAGTGAAAAACTTTGTTTTTACGGGTTATACTTATTCCCATTCGTTCATCAACTGCAGCACACCGAAAACGCGCACGAATGCCGCATTCGCGTTTGATCAGCCGATATTCGTGAGTTGTACACAACTCCGATGTGGCATTGTGCAATTTATATTCTTCCAGTCGGTGCAAATGAATCGTAGCATCTTCGAAAATGAGGCCGCTATGATGGTATACAGTACTATGTCGTGACAAGCCCAGTTTAATCAACATATCTGTCTGTACAAGATGCAGTCACCCGCAGATACAAACTGGCCAAACTGGTACGATTTTATCTCAAGAGTCCCGTGTTCAGTTCTGGTCGGGACACTGGGTCATGTTTTGTTTCATGCTGAGCTTGAAGTGAGCAAACATGTTTTTAAAGCCGCCTTTCGATACGTCTCGTGGCAAATATTCATGGGAGGGACCCGTCCAATTCTCCGGATTTGAGGTCATTGCCCAAAAGGATTGTATGGCAAGTCCAGGGCCCAGCATTCGGTAAAAACGAGTCCGTATATGGTTGAAAGGCAATCGGCAACGGCTCAGAAAACACAAAGCACTGTGTTTAACTACTGCGGTGGGTTATTTGTCTGGGTCTAAAACAAGCGCGGCCATGCGTTTGACATTTTGAAAGTCAAATCAATTGAGGCACCTGTGTTACCTTACCCTGATTTTTTTTAACGGTTTAAACCTATACCAATGCGAGCGAGTCAACAATCATTGCTGTGTTATCACAGGACATTGACAGCACGCAGGGTGTCATTTTAAGATGACAGGAGGGCGTTGACAACTACCGATCAGTGGAACTGCGTGATACAAGGGGTGTTTGGCAGTTGCGCATTTTGTCCAAGTATGCCTGTTTAGCGCTTTTCGCACTACATAGCCAACCGTGCTAATCGGAGATACGGGGGAAAGACCACCAACTAAACACAAAAATCAGTTCTAAAGAAATTAGTTTTCAAACGTCCATAGCAGTTTGGGAGAGAGTGATTGGTTTTTTTGGGCAGGACTGAGCATGCCTCTTTACAGCATTCCATGAGGTTAGACCAACACGCTGGGCAGCAATACAGCAAGCGGCTCGCTATGGTGATATACAGCACAGGAAGGACAGTCACCCTGATAACGCTCGTGCCTTGTCAACGGTATTGGTGCTTGCTTCCGAGCTGTTTGATGGGGCGGATGCGGTGTGGATTGCCAAAAGCAGCACATCGCGCACGCCGTACAATCTGGTGAATTGGTACGGGACGAGTTGGGTCTCGCCCTAGAAGAGTGGACTGAGTGATGATAATTTAATTTTAATAATTTCATTCCGCACCTAGTTTACACAACAAAGGCTCATTCCTAACAGCGTGCTTCAGCCGCACCGAACCTCACAAAAATTATATTCAGGGCCTACCTTGGCTCCTCCCACCCTCAACCAGTATATATACAAATACTGTGTTCTTGGAATTTCTCTCACTTGATACAGCTATCGTGCTGTGACGGTTCCACCTGAAGACGGACGCTTGTGTTGCCTCCGAAACGTCGTGATTTTTATTTTATTTTTTATTTTACTTTTATTAATTTTAATTTTTTACCTACGTGACTTTACCGAAAAAACCTAAGAATTAGAGAGCGTCATTCATGCAATTGCATCCCACAATGATGCACGTCAATTAGCCGGTCCCTTACACAGATAATGCAAAAAACAAAACCCCCAATTTAGCTAATCAAAAACAAATTAATACATAAATAACGAGTCCAACGACCCAAACATAGCCATGCCATAACACGCTTCTTCCGGTTTGTTGCATTGAAATAACTTGGTGAGACAGATTCAAAACTAGTATCAAAAACGTTTATTTACAACAGTAGTTTATATACAAAGTCCTCAAATTAAACACCGCAATCTTCGCATGCAGCAGCAGCAATATATACAGTACACAATTAATGAAGTATCACACCACCAAAATACAAAGATCCCTCTGTATAACCTTAACAGATTGTTGGGGCAAGCGAGCACCTATGAAGGCCGGCACAGCACAAGAGGGGGTGGGTGGTCAGCACCACGCCCGGCCGCCTTTGTCTCCCCAGTGGCGATGTTTACTACACACCGCACCAGGTACTCATTTGAGGCTGAGTCGACCTAGGGGAGGAGGCCCAGGACCGGTTCAGATAATCGTCACTGGTGTCCCTGAGTTCGCCTCCCCGAGCGCACACGTTGCATGCCACAGTTTACAATCTTAAATTGTCTCTAGTTGCTGGGCCTTTGTCTTACATTAAGTAACACGTTACATTCGGAACTTTCGTGTAACATTAAGTAACACGTTACATTTGTAACTGTTCTATAACATTAAGTAACACGTTACATTCGGAACTTTCATCTAACATTAAGTAACACGTTGCATTTGTAACTTTTCTCTAACATTCAGTAACATTTTACATTCGGAACATTCATCTAACATTAAGTAACACGTTACATTCAGAACTTTCATCTAACATTAAGTAACACGTTACATTTGTAACTTTTCTCTAACATTAAGTAACACGTTACATTGGGAACTATTGTCTAACATTAAGTAACACGTTACATTCGGAACTTTTCTCTAACATTAAGTAACACGTTACATTTGGAACCATTGGTGATTGGCTTTATACCCTCAAATACTTCCCAAAGTACGATCTTAACCGCTTGTACCATATGCTCAGACAAACCGTCGACTAGTGACACAGGACGATACACCTCAAGTATGTCTCTATATATAAGTTAGTCACATCTACATACCTGTCAACCCATACGGTTTACCCCGTATTCTTGTACAGTTAAATTTAGTTTTTGGGTCCATACGGCATACAGCCGTTTCAATACGGGCAAACATGTTTTTTGTTGCCTATTTGTTTGTGTTTCTGCCTTGTGATCGGACTTTGTAGGATGAACGTTGAGATTTACAAGGCCACGAGCTGACCAATAAGGTCCCAATCGGTCTTTGCCGTTACTTATTGGCAATGATGGACTCAGACTACTGACCTATCATCTCATCGAGTCCCTGGCACGTAATAATATGCTACACAGCGGTAGTGGGGGTCGCAAAATGCCGATGTATTACTAATAAACCCCAAATGATCCGATCGAAATTAGGGATTTCGATCGGATCATTGGGGGGGCACGTGCCCCCCCCCCCCCACCCAGTAGGTCCGACTGAAGTTTTTTGCTACCTTGGGTGGAACTCATTTCCGAATATTGGTCCATGGACATAAGGAAGTGATTTCCCGCAGCCATAAATCCATAACAGCCATACCAGCTTCCTGACACAGCGAAGCCATTGTTCACTTCAGCATAATGGTTAACCCTGCCATAACCCAAACGTGCAAGCACTGTAACAGGGCAGTTAAATTCCTGGCTTAAAAAAATTGATCAGTTCTAGGCGACTGTCAAGAGGTGGAAAAAAAATCATAACAGGATACTACCAACGCATCGAGGGACCCATTCTAGAAGCCAATTGCCATCCTTTCCTTTCATGATTTGTATATTACAGTGAAACTAAAGTTAAGGACTGTTCCCTGGACTGGAGTATTGGATATCCCCGCTTCAACACATGTCTTTTTTTAAAGCGAGATGGTACAGATTATGACGCAAATGTAAAATTGCTGATTCATAAATCCTATTGTCCATTTCATCTTCCCCCCCCCTTTTGATTTGATTCGTAGTGTGTGGTTTACAGACATGTTCCTTTGACTTTTCTGGGGAATTAGATTTAAGGTGATTATTCTCACTCGGGTTTAAGGATACCCATTTTTTCCCCCATGGGAGAGATATAGCTTGTGCTGGAGATTGTTATTAGTTCTGTATTTTTACTGGCTACCATAATTTGGCTGCTTTACATTTCCACATTGAGCTATGATTTGTGGACCGGTCGCTTCTGAAAAAGAGCTGTATAGCTGAGTGGGTCTTACCTGGTAAAATAAAATAAATCATATTTTCGTTTTAATTCCAATGAGACAATCGCCTTTGTATAGCGTGTTCTGTCGCAGAATGATTTCTTTTTTGTTTCTCTTTTTTTGTAGATTCATGTTGCTCTGCGTTTTAACTCGTGTACTACTTGCTGTTCAGTTTATATGACCCTACAAAAATACACAAATACAGATTTACTAAATTGTATTGTAATAAACTTAAATCCATCATTCTCATAACTTTAACCAAGCCAGTACGGTAGGTTAATTCACTCATGGATTCCTATAAACTTCTCAAGCATTCAGACAGTGATTTTTTACGTACAAAATGTTGTTTTTACAATCCACGTATAGTTGTCGTTTTCCTTATGCACATTTAAGATTCCAATTGGGCTGTCGGTGCCTCGGCATGTGATGAGCACCATACAAACCTCCCGCAGCCATCGACGCAACACCTCGTGTCAATCGGTACTGGAAGTTCTGATGGCGTGGCTCGTAAAGTTTTTTTTACGCTTCCATTTCACCTGTATCCCCACATATTCTTAGTTTTTTTCGGTAAAGTCACGTAGGTGATAAATTAAAATTAATAAAAGTAAAATAAATATAAAATAAAAATCACGACGTTTCGGAGGCAACACAAGCTTCCATCTTCAGGTGGAACCGTCACAGCACGATAGCTGTATCACTTGATACACAGCACGATAGCTGTATCACTTGATACAGCTATCGTGCTGTGACGGTTCCACCTGAAGACGGAAGCTTCACCTACGTGACTTTACCGAAAAAATCTAAGAATATGAATCCTTGCAGTCACGAAAGCTTCAAATCTAGAATGTATCCCCACACTTTAGACGCTGCTCCAGGACTTCTAAAATATCCGCAGTGGGGCTCTCGCTTGATTTTTACATCAGAATTTCAGTGATTCTCAACCTTTGTTTTATATGTTGGAGCCTCGATCAAGACCACTGGTCCCCGTGTCTCCTCCCCGCCACAGCCCTCCGCCCAGTTACTATGGCAACAATACAGATAAATCTCAAGTTCATGTCTCTTGGCAATGTGGCGTTATCTTCTTGGTTCTTTCGGTAAAGTCACGTAGAATGGAAATAATAAAATAATACAAATACAACATAATAAAATAATTCTTATATTATTACATTATTATATTAATATATTATGTTTTATTTTTATTATTTTATTATTTCCATTCTACGCGACTTTACCGAAAGAACCAAGAAGATGAATCCCTGCAGTCACGAAAGCTTTAAATCGAAATTTAATGTGGAGTTAATAAAGCATCTGTCCCTTCCGGCTAAGGGTGGGGTGTGCGAGCCACGGGTTGAAAGCCGTTGATTATGCGTTTCGTGTTGGGTATTGCATGGCTGAGCTGATAGGGTCCCAAGATTTGAAGCTTTCGTGTCTGCAAGGAATCCTGATAGGGTCCCCACCAGTAACTTAAGGCCACTCCACAGTATTCAGAAATCGGGCCACTGCAGCGTTCATGCTACTCATCTGGATGATGCACCAGCTTGCAACACGACAGGGGATTCAAAATACAGATGTCGATTTTCACAAATTGACAACAAAAGCTGCACGAGCAATCCTGTTCTGATTCATCAGCCGTGGAGTTCCCCGCGTCGGCTCGCAAAGAGGCCTTTTGTGGAAAAAAATACCAACATTCGTCTCTTCACAGAGAGCAGCCCCTGCAGTGGGCTGGAGGGGCCTAAGGCCATCTGCTGATGGCTTATCACCCCCCCCCCCCCTCCCTTTTAATAGGGTTGATTAAAGCACTCTAGATGTGCAGCTTTTGTCATCCGCATCACCATTATGTAGTATGATTATAATGTTTTAGCTTGTTTACCCAGCAAATAGTCCCAAAACGGGTTTTCAGGAGGGTCCTGCCAAGTTCTTGCTGCGATGTGAAATCACAATTGAGTAGTAATTTTCACCATTGGGATGTTTGGCCAATAGCATTGACGTCATATTGCTTTTAGCTTCTGAGATGAAACCGGAGAACCCGTGTGGGAAACCTTTGCAGAGAGAGAACGTACAAACTCCACACGGAGAAAGGCGCCCCGTGTCGGGAACAACCGCTAGGATTAAGTGTTACCGCTGTGCCACGCTACCACGCTTGTTAAACACAACACGTCAAAAGCAAAAAAATGGAAATTCTGACAATACAGCAGAGGTCGCAACCGGGTACCCGATACCCGTACCCTAACCGATACCCGGCTACCCATACTCGGCCGGGTACGGGTAGCCGGGTACCCGTTTGCGACCCTGGTGCGGCCGGGTACGGGTACGGGTAGGCCGTGAGTCACTGGTGAGTAACCGTTTGTCACTCATTTCGGGTAGGGTACGGGTAGGGAACGAGTACACGTACCCGGCCGGGTACGGTTACGGGTACCTATTTGCGACCCTGGTGCGGCCGGGTACGGGTAAGGAATCAAAACCCGTTTGCGACCTCTGCAATACAGATATCAACGGATTTCATTGTTACAAATCTTCCCAAAGCATCGCTCACAGAGCAAAGTGGTTACTCTGCCCTTCGTGCCGAGCGACTAAATCAAAGAAGAACACGATTAGCGAATTATCTTATTGGAATGTTGTAACCCTCCCTCTTCCAGGTTCTCATGCTGTTTTCAACATTCACACTAATTCTTGCTTAGGCGGAAGTTCGCTTATTTTTCTTATCTGCTTAAGAAGGTCATATCTGTGGCAAAAAACAAATCCAGGAAAACACAAATGAAATAAACATGCTTTTCAGTGATATAAATTACGTGTCATTAGTACCAACAGATTTGGGGATACACATTTTTCTTTTTTTTACCATACCAAGGTATTAATACAGGATTCGCATATTTCGGTGCCAAGCAGTGTTCGCTTTAACCATTCATTATATAGTTCTTACTATTTAAATTGGAGTAGGAGCCTTGGGGGGCAGCAGTCATCGCACTTGGCAATCCCGACCATTAGCTTACATTCGTAGAGGGTGCTAACTAACTATATTTTATTTTATCTTGTAAGACCCACTGAGCAACACAGCTCTTTTCTCAAAAGCAGCCTGGCCACAAATCAAAACTCAATGAAATGGAAATTTCTAGCAGGCAAATACTCTAAATACATGTTTCTAAATGTGGAGGGGAAAATCCACGTGGCCACGAGGAGAACATGCAAACTCCAAATATACAGCAGCAGGCGTCACGGTTGGGATCGAACCCACGACCTCCTGCATACCAGGCAAGGTAGTTAACATCTCGCCACCATGGCACCCCTTGCATCAGTCCTTGAGACAACGGTATTTCAATCCACACTGACCAGTTCATGAAGTACCGTCAAGGGCAAACAAGTATATCTACACCAGAGGTCAGCAACCAAAATAACGAGAGGAGCCATTTTTTTTCGAATTCGGTAAGAAACTCAATATTTAAAGAGCCTCAATGCACGTGAATACGAGATGGCCCTCAATAAATAATGTCTCGGAGCAGTCCTTGAAGAGCCGCAGGTTTTGCCAACCCCTGATCAAGACTCGGACTTCACCGTCACCCACCCCTCCGTTATGTTTCGGTTGAGCGCATATTTATGAATCGTGGTGAATGGTTCGTGAGAATGTGCTTGTGGAGGACTTACGATCTACTGCGTGTCAACTTGCGCCAGAGCAGCATGCCTCCCAGCCCGCCTGCTACCGACAATGCAATGACCGCTAAAGCGATCACGATATAAATTAAATTATTTTCAGCTGTGAAGGACAAACGAGAGAGAGAAAAAAAATCCACCGAAAACATTAAAACACATTTTTGTTTTAACTTCCATGCCGACGATATTGCAGTAGTTATTTATTTCACCGTGCGTTTTGAGATTTGCTTTTTCATCATCGTCGTCATCATCCGTTTATCCACTGCCGGATGAAAGCCTTCCTAACCTATACCGTCACTATCCCCCGCGGTTCTGCGATGGCACATTCCATCACCTGTCCACGAGTTCATTACCACATCGTGTCTGCGATGGTCATCATATCAGGGGCGTGCTCTCCTTCGACTGCCATACCTTCACTGGTTTAGTTCATCAATGATCATCTCTCCTACCAATATCCCCTACCGAGGTCCACCGACTGTAATTTAACTTAACATTGCATTATCCTGTGATCCATATATTTGTCAATCACCATGTGGACAGGAGTGACTCAATAGTAGATTTGTTCAACCAGAGGAATTTCCTCACATCTCTAAACTAAGGGGTATTGCCTACTGCAATGATTCAGGCTTGTAAATGGGAATCATTCTTCCCATTAAGCTGTTGCATTAGCACAAAAGTATCACACTGTATGCTTGATATTTCCGCGGCCACAATAGGCAGCGCTTGACCAAGGATGATGTGGATCTTCTTTGCAAGGCTGTGACTCCAAACTCCAAACCATGGACCATAAAATGTCACACTGCCTGAAACATGATTTAAAAATACGGTGTATCTGTAATTCAACTCTCAAAGCATTTGAATGGCCAAATCACTCCAAACTAAATGTTTTAATGGTTGCTCTACATAAGCCACACAAACGAATCCAAACATTCATTTTTGAATAAAGCAACTGAAGATATGAAAAATCTGTATGATTGTGTTAATGACAGTGTCTGTCCAGCACTTTAAGACAGAGCTGCACTTGCATTCACGCTGTTTTACAAACCTATGACCAGATCACTCGGAATGCGCCCAATCCCATTAGATTTCAGAAGCTCAGCAGGCTTTGAGCCTGGATAGCATAGGGCTGTGTGGATACATCATGGGCAGCAGAGGGCAGTGCAGAAAAAAAGTCAATCGTACTGTACGTCTTTGTCCCTGCATCTGTAATTAATTATTTTATGGCGAGCATGATCAAATAAAGTCAAATAACCTGCACAATGCCGCACAATGTGGGGAGTCCCTCATCCAGCAGTGGATGTACAACAGGGATGTTGTTGTGCATGTACATGTGGTGTTCGTGGATGGTTGCATACGGCAGTGCGAGCAACCCACACGTGACGTTGATCTTGAAGACGTTGCTACTTTTACTGCCCAAATGGTTCTGCACCGTGCACTGGTATTCCCCGCTGTCACGCCCTTGGATGTCCTTCACCAGCAGGGAGGCACCTTCTTTGGAGAAAATATTCCTCTCTTCCACCTCAATGATCGGCTGCCCATTCTGAGTCCAGTCATACCATTGCCCCGTGCCGTTATCGTGCGAGCAGTTCATAGCGACCGAGTCTCCTTCTTTAGCCTCCCCTGTGCTGTTTGTCGTGAGCGTGGGCACGGAGACAGGAACTGTGGACAGGGAGGGACACACGGGGTGAGCACGTCGATAGATGCACTGCAGTGACATTTTCCTCGGCTAAAAGTAGTCATTGGCGCGAGATGGGACGCTGCAACTCTGCAACATCGGAAGCGTCAGATCAACTGCCCAGGTGAGGGTTGCGTTATACAACAATGGGTTATACAACAATGGGTTATACAGCAATGGGTTATACAACATTGGGTTATACAACAATGGGTTATACAACAATGGGTTATATGACAATGGGTTATTCAACAATGGGTTATACAACAATAGGTTATATAACAATGGGTTATACAGCAATGGGTCATACAACAATGGGTCATACAACAATGGGTTATACAACAATGGGTTATACAACAATGGGTTATACAGCAATGGGTCATACAACAATGGGTCATACAATAATGGGTTATACAACAATGAGTCATACAACAATGGGTCATACAACAATGGGTTATACAACAATGGGTTATACAACAATGGGTTATACAATCTTGGGTTGACGCTCCGTGAAAAAGGTGTCAGTTTTAACTAGGGCTTAATTTCTCATGGAATCTCTTCAAGGCCCATCCAACCACCACCTCCCCCCCCACCCCCTAGACCCTGCTCCCCCCGAGAGAGAATAAGAGAAAGGGGGGTGGGGATAGGGAAACATTTTCCAGAGATCAGCCCCAGGCAGCTCCGGCAGAAATGTTGTCATAACCGTAGCCCTAAACACCAACACCTGGTCCTAATCCCTAAAGCTTAACCCTCCTACACGAAAGCTAAAGAAATGGAGTTCTAGCGTATGCCACCAACTGAAATACAAAGGAGTGGGATGTAATAACTGACAAGTACGACCCAAGGAAGGCAGGTCATTGAATTAAAATCTGGTCTATGGTAGGATAAACATCTGTGGGGATGGTAATTCCGTAGACTGGGGTTCTTTCCCTGCATCTGTGTGCACAGTTGTCACTCCCAGTGAGAAATTCCACATTCCTATGGTAGCTCCTGTATGCCCACCAAATCGTTGCAGCTTCGCCAGGCAGTACTCGATGTAACTAACACTGGATAGTTTAGAGGCTGTCGACTGCATGAGGCACTCTTACAGTACATACACGGCAGTGACTAGCGTCTCATAACAAAACAAATCGACTGGACACGAACTCAGAACCATCGGGAAGAATATAACCCACAATCAGGTGTTGAAATCTGTTGTACGTATTTTCGTACGAAACATTGACGATATACATGAGGGGAAATTAGATTTAAAAAGGCGCACGTTAAGGATATTAAAAGTATGGATTTGAATGATCCAAAAATGCCATGGGTATTTAGGCTTATATTTTGGTATTGACAAAAAAAAACAATAAAATCTGCTGAAAACCCAAAACAAACATCTTTCACACAGTACTTACCCTCAATGATGATGCTGGCTGACATCTCGTACAATTGACTGTCCATTTCATATCTGCCTTTGCAAGTATAATTGGTGCCATTTCGCGGTTCATTTACGGACAGAACATTGGTGAACTTGTTGAGATCAGTATCCAAAGTCCACCATGACCACTCCAGCGTTGGTTTGGAGACTGCTTCACAGGTGAGAGTCAGTGGACTTCCCTCTGCGACGAACACATGCAGTGACTTCTCATATCTCTGTTGAGATGCGTGGCCTGCCATTATTTTCAGGTCCTGCGGTGGGTCTGCACACAATAGACGTAAAAAATTAACCCGTAAAAACAAAGTTTTTCACTATAAATCCTTTATATGCGTGGCGGCTAGAGTCCTCTCGTCCTCTGGCTTGAGATGGCTGCCACCTATGGGTCAGATGATTGCCTGCCACCATTAAGCAATTGGTAATTCAATATAATTTTTTTTCCCTAAAAAGTCTAAAGTTATGGAATTTTTTTTCACGAAAATAAATTATCTGTGTGCAAAATGTCAGCTCGATTGGATCACGGGAAGTGGGTTAAAAAACGACCGAAAGATTTGCACGGTCGTAAGCGCGCAAGCAAGCAAGCAAGTGAACTTAATATAAAGGATTTAAAAACGCATCACATTTTGGCCTCACAAACCGTCACGGCCAAAGTGCTGGTTGTGAGGAACTGTTAAGGCTTCCACGGCAAGTGATGGAGCAGTTGTGTAAGTGGCGAGGTGGGTCAGCAGCAGCTCGCAATCGGAAGGTTGCGAGCTCAACTCCTGCTTGGGGGTTTTAATTCAGCCCATCATCGCTCACTGGTGTAGATAAATTAGTACCACTTCGTGTGGGGAGTGGTTGTCCTGTGCAGTTTCCTTCCTGCCATAGGGACGTTAATTATCCAAGAGCTGAGTTTTCACCTCAATGTTATTATAAATTCTATAAGGGAATGAAATTCTTTCTTCACTGGAAAAACTCTCAAAAAACAATCGCCATTCAACATTAAGTGCATACGTGAATACGGTGGAGTTAGCGGTATGCATTTTTGACCGTTTAGTCAATTCCTTTCCATTGCTATACTCCTGTGTAGTGATTCTGGAATGCGGTATCTTTCAGAGGAATATGGTGAAAGAGTTTGGAGCTTACGTGACTGCAGGATGATTGCTTGTGTTGCAATCGAAACGTCGTATGTTATTATTTAATTTATTATTTTATCTTTATACGTGACTTTACCGAAAGAACCAAAGAGTAATGGTGAAAGAGCTGAAGGAACGCCTTTCTCTGAGTGTCAGTTTGCTGGGATACTCACAGTAAATGTCAATGGTCTTGTCGTTTGCAAAGCTTGTGCCAACGATGGAGCACTTGTATTTCCCATTATACGTCCTGCTGACTGACACGATGCTGATGGTTTGCTTGTTGTCTGAGAACTGCTGCTCTGGGATGACGATGTTCGGTGGCAGCTCCCAGGAAAAGGTGGAATTTGGATTTAAATATCCAGACGAGTTGGTACAAGATATGGTAAAGTTGTCGCCCTCGAAAATGTTTTGTTTAGACGTACGTATTCTCAGTATGACATCACCATCTGTGAAGAGAAATTAAACGTTAGTCTTTCATAGGTGGCCATTATCATTGTCGTCATCTTTCAGCCTCCATCACTTTTAGGAGGTCTAAAATGCAAGGAATGCACCAGGCATCGCAATAAGTCAGAGTTAATTCGGACTATGATGCCTCGGCTATATTCACACTTACCAATGTGCAGGTATTCACACACAACACTATGTAATTCTGAGGCATTTTCTCCTCTGCGTGAGTATATGTCTGCACTGACCACGTGGGTATTTTTGGTCGCCTCGATATGCCAATAGTACAATATATCATACGATATATCAGTCATAAGATTCACGATAATTGTATCATTCGTTTGGAAAAATTATCACATCAGTTTTACTGTTGCAAATTTTACGAGGAAAATATACATATTGACAAAGATTTTATTATGAAATGATAACAATTAAAGTTCACAATAATAAAGGTCCCAAAAAATATAGCTTTTACCCATTAAATCAGTGCTTCGTGGAATATGTTTAGGATAAATTTACAGCACATTGGTTAAATAACATAATTTTCTGGAAGCCTCTTGAGTTGTACGCACTATAAAATGTAACGTTTAAATTATTAAAAGACGAAGAGCAAGCTTATTTATCCTGAGCGACCTACCGCTTAATAACTTTTCAGCAATATTTTAATTGTACTATAAGCCACATGAAAAGCATGCAAACGTGGCAATTATTAGGAAGCCACTGGAGCTATGCACTTTGAAATCTAGATTTAAAATTCATTTCTTTAGAACTACTTTTTGTGTTTAGTTTGTTGTCCTTCCCCCGCACCTCCGATTAGCACGGTTGGCTACGTACGGTGCGAAAGAAGTTCAACATTCATACATGACATACATTCTACTGAGTTAAGGTAACATTTTAAGAGAAATTCGTCATTCGATGGAATTGAATACCGTATTGTATTGTTAAATACAATAGCAAACCTACATTAGACATTCATCGCCACCTTCATAGCAATTAGCGTACATTAGTGGAAGGCGCCTCACAAATACATGTAAATTATGATGATGACACAACGCCATTTGCTCTCACGTGACATTTACTCAGGGCTGTCTGTTGCTTTGGTTTTAATCACAGTGGGCTGAGCAAAGGGTTATAATAACTTTGGGAAAATAAACGATGTGAGTGATTGCCAAATTTGAGCAGTGCCGGCGGGGTAGGGGAACAGAAGGACATGCTGCGACACGCAGTGCGCTGGTTGGACACGGTGTGCATTAGACAGAAAAAAAAACCATCAATGTTGCTGCTTCACATGGTTAAATCCGGTTCGCCAGTCTTCTTTTCATAATAAAGTTTTTGGGTTAGACAGGCGAATTGTCCGATGATGCTGGATGTAATTACCAGCGAGACGTCGTACTCAAAAAATTGTAAATGTTGTGGTTTCACGCTTCAACACACCGGTGGGCTAAAGTAATGAATTATTTGTCTTTTGTCAACGTGACACTTTTTTGCTGATTGGCCGTGTCGGGTGGTGGAGGGTTACGACACATTTATAAATAACGCGATCTAAACCCAAAAACGTTGATTATGAATAATATTGGTTGCGAAAGCCGACGTGTTAAATAGTCTTCTTTTTGCTCTCTTTTCTGAATGACAACTGCAGTCGATGATCGATTATATTATCCGGCGGCTTCGGGGGAGGAAGAGGGTGCCGGATTTTCTAAAACGCCGGATAATTATTCACGAATCATCATTGAGAATAGGTTTTCCCCTTTTTTTTGGCAACAAAACTGCTGTGTTAAGATGTTAAAACACCAAACTGAAACATTTTACAAGGAATCGTGTCTGCATTAACCACAATGCTTGTGGTCAGAATGCAAACCAAAAACGTACTCTGATAATATATGCATTTGCTTTGAAACTGATCTAACACCGCTTGAGACTAGGCTCGAAAGAAAGCTGTCTCTGGTGTGGACCAATCAGTTTCAAGGACAATGCATATATTATCAGAGTATGTTTTTTGTTTGCATTTGTACCACAAGTATTGTGGTGAATGCAGACATGATTCCTTGTAAAAGGTTTCAGTTTGGTGTTTTAACATCTTAACACAGCTGTTTTGTTGCCAGAAAAAAGGGGAAAACATATTCTCATATTTTGGTATTGGCAAAGGAGGTCCCATGACGAATCATCATTATTTAAAGTAGCTTACTTTTCATATTCTTGCGTGACATTATGGGGTTTTTTTGTGTTTAAAATTTGTGATACTATATGAAATTGGCATTAATAAACATACAAAAGGACAAGAATAAATATCCTGCTCTAAAAAGTTACCATATGTACTGTACTACTTCCAATCTCGAAAACTCTGCACGGGGTGCTGTATATACGTGCATTGTTTAACTTGTACGTAGTGTATAATGTCCCGTTTATAATATTTGACACTGAAATCAGGCATAGCAAATGTTTGTGTTTCTTACGCACGTGGTACCGATCGTCAGACTGCTTACAGCCATTGGAGCGGTTTCGCCGGATCGGCCCGGGACCACCGCATAATGTTGTAAGCAGCCGGATAATGAATCGATGATCAACTGCAATGTGCTCATCCCTGTGATCCCAACAAGACTGGTTACCTCCTGTTACCTCGCCTGAAAATTGGCTCTTTTTAAGCAAAAAGGCCTCTCTTGATGTGCACGGCCGAGATGAGAAATCCCACACCGTAACAGCATCAATATGTTTATTTATAGTGTCGTTTATTTTTAAGATGATGGCTCGTGCGAGTAATTTGCTTCGCTGGGACATTGCTTCCTCTCTTTGCAGTGCGATTACATCGTGCTGGCAATGCGAAGTCTTCCCTACTCACTGTACAGCAAATGCAAAAAGCACAACAAGTAAAACAAGCGAGAGCCACTGCAGTTAACGTCTCATCGCAAGTTCCTTTTCCACCGAGCGACAGCCTCAGCGTTCGCATAACTCAGGGCCATAATAAGAAGGGGCATTGCCTGATACGTCCCCTATGATGTTCAGTATATATCTTTTTTTTACCTAAAAGGCGACAGTGCTGTTGAGATGGGGTTTATACTCTTAGGTTTTTGTTCTCACTTGATACAGTAAATTTAGCTGTGACGGTCCCACCTGATGACGGAGACTTGTGTTTTTTTACCTACGTGACTTTACCGAAAAAAGCTTCAAATCTAGAAATCAAGAGATAGGTTTTTTTTATTAAAAGAATTAACCAAGCTCTGCTCTGCGTTGCTTCCAAGACCGAATGAGAACGGTTACCTTCAGATTGTTTTAGTCGCAGGCAAACAGCGCGCAACAACACGCTATGTGTGTTGCGCTATAATTTAATATCGACCCTTTTTTATGGCCACTGAAAAAAGATCAAACCTGGGGGGGGGGGGGGTGGAATCTTCCTCTGTACAATTAAAATACTTTAATTTAATTAGCACCACTCTCAAGTGTAGCAGTGCATTTCTCGGAAATTGGCTCTAAATTTTTAGTTCAGTTTTTCATTTATTAGGTATAGCCCTGTGAGCCATGCGGCTCTTGAATTGGGTGCAACCGCAACAAACAAAAAACAAAAAAAATGAACAAGATTTACAACCACGTGGCGGGGCTCGTTGTTCGTACGAGCCAAGCCGCGGTGGGAAAACGGCGTGGCCTCGGTTCGAGTGCGGCATCGCCGGGGAAAGCGACTTGGCTCGCATGCCAATGAGCTGCTCAGGTCACGGGGTCACGGCTCTGGAGCGCTGCACACTCCCGAGATGTGTGTTGAACAAAGTCCTTTCGTGCCGCACGTAGCCAACCGTGCTAACCGGAGGCGCGGGTGAGGGACAACAAACTGAGCAGAAAAATCAGTTTTAAAGAAATAAGTTTTCAATCTGACTGAGCAGAAAAATCAGTTTTAAAGAAAGACGCTTTCAATCTAACTGAGCAGAAAAATAAGTTTTAAAGAAATACGTTTTCAATCTATTTGAGCAGAAAAATCAGTTTTAAAGAAAGACGCTTTCAATCTAACTGAACACAAAAATCAGTTTTAAAGAAATAAGTTTTCAATCTAACTGAGCGCAAAAAGCAGTTTTAAAGAAATAAGCTTTCAATCTGAATACAAAAATCAGTTTAAAAAAAATAAGTTTTCAATCTAACTGAGCAAAATAATCAGTTTTAAAGAAGTAAGTTTTCAATCTAACTGAGCAGAAAAATCAGTTTTAAAGAAATACGTTATCAATATAACTGAGCACAAAAAGCAGTTTTAAAGAAATAAGTTTTCAATCTAACTGAGCACAAAAATCAGTTTTAAAGAAATAAGTTTTCAATCTAACTGAGCACAAAAATTAGTTTTAAAGAAATACGTTTTCAATCTTGATTTAAAAGTGCATCGCTCCAGTGGCTTCCTAATATCGGAAGGAAATGGGTTAGATGGTGAGCCAAAAGCCGCTGCCAGATGTGTTAAAGTGGATGTTTGTTTGTTTGTGTGCAGCTGCTACAGTCGGGGATACAGTTGGTACATCAGCCAGTCATGTCAGTCAGTGGACCAGAGGTCGCAAACGGGTTTTGATTCCTTACCCGTACCCGGCCGCACCAGGGTCACAAACGGGTACCCGTACCCGTACTCGGCCGCACCCGTACCCTACCCGTACCCGGCCGGGTACGGTTAAGGGTAGGATATCGGGTACCTGATTGCGACCTCTGGGATGTTGCAGGCGCGGGTTGGTTGATTCTAGGAACTTGAATTGTGAGAAGAGACAAGACGTTGGGAAATGAGTGACAAACAGTTACTCACCAGTGACTCACAGCCTACCCGTACCCGTACCCGGCCGCACCAGGGTCGCAAACAGGTACCCGTACCCGTATCCGGCCGGGTACGGGTAGCCGGGTATCGGGTAGGGTACGTGTATCGGGTACCCGGGTGTGACCTCTGCAGTGGACTCATGGAACCTGGGTCTGCCCCGTGACCTCCTACCAGCGGGCGTTCGACACTTCACGTGGCCTCAACGTGCACATAGCCTGGCACATGCGTCGTGGT